TCTTCTTCTTCTTCTTCTTCTTCTTCTTCTTCTTCTTCTTCTTCTTCTTCTTCTTCTTCTTCTTCTTCTTCTTCTTCAGATGTCGGGTCTGGAGCAGACATTGACGATCGTGATACCCCCCACCCCCCATTCAATCCTGTTGTCTGTCTTTTGATCAGCTCGGTTTTTCTCTTTGTGTTATTCGTTGCAAAGCTATTCAGGCCATCTGTGTATGTTGTTCTTCGTCTTCCTCTGCTCTTCTGTCCTTTTATCTTTCAACACAGCAGCAGTGAAAGGTCTAGGATGCTTATAAAAAATAAATCTGTAGGTCTCACCTGAACGTTTGTTTGGTGTTGGTCTGTGCGCTGATGGTGAGAGGCGTGACCACTACACGAGGGTGTGGCAGAACTTCTAGCATCACCGAACGCTTCATGCTGCGTCCAAAGTCTGTGATCTCGCATGTGAACTGGCCTGATGTGAAGAATTTTACAAGACATGACAGTCAATAAATAACACTACACATCCCGCCCCCACGAAAACCCCCAAACAAAACAATAACCAACAACCCCAAACCAAACAAACATAAAACAACAACAAACAAACAAACAAAAGAACAACAGCAAAATCGCATCCCTAACAAAACAAAAACAAAAACAAAAACAACAACACGAAAAACAAAGGGTTGCAACTGCTCTAAACATTATGTAATAATGTTTTATTGAACACATAAAGAAAAAAAATGCAATGACCACCTGCAAGCACATTGTCATATTCAGAATACCCAAGACGAGAATCACTCTCGAAGAGCCACGTGTAGACACATAAATATGGCTGCTTTTGTGTATAATTGAAAGGCAAGAGACATATTACACCTTGATAGATACATATAGCCAGACAGACAGACAAACATATAGACAGACAGACAGACAGACAGAGAGACGGACAGACAGACAGGCAGACCGACAGACAGACATACAGACAGACAGACAGACAGACAGACAGATAGATAGATAGATAGATAGATAGATAGATAGATAGATAGATAGATAGATAGA